CGGCCCTGGGTGCGCGCGCAGCCCCCGCAGCACGCGAGCGGGCTCCGGGAGCGTGCACAGGGGCGTGGGGGGGCGGCGGGCTCGGCTGCGCATTCCCGCGGCAGGGTTGGGGGCCGGCTCCGCGACGTCTTTCTGGGATCCGAGCCGGACTGGGGGACGTGCCCTCGCGGGGCCCGGCGGGCTTGATCCTCGGCTGCGCTATTTAACGCCCGGATTTCGGCTGGTGACGGCAGGGCCACTGCGAACCGGGTCCTGGTGCTAGTCCATGCGCCCCTGGCGCGCTCCCTCGGTCCCAAGGTCGAGACCAAGAGGCCCCCGGGGAGTGGTTCTCGCCCGGCACCTCCACCCCGCCCCGATCGTCGAGGCCCCTTCTTCGCTCTCTGCCGCTGCTTTACATGCTAATTGTGTCTGGGAAAAGTTCTTTAATTGGCAGAATTAGGCAGAGCAAACGAATTGTTTCACAGGCTGAACCAAATTAATTCCGGGTTTAGCTTCTTTCCTTGGAGAAACAAACAATTAAGCTGTCTTGTTTGCTTTATGGATCTATTGGAAATGCCCCACATCGAGTTTCAGGATATGTTTTTAAAGAGAAATTATTTCCATTATTAATACTTGCATGTTTAATTTGCGGTAACGCTGAGCGAAGAAGCGAGAGATTAAATTTACCTGATTTTAAATTATGGAATACAAGAAGAAAAGAATTTGAGTTAACTTTCACAGGGCTACTAAATACCACCCAGAATCTTCCTGGCAATTGTTAGATCTCAAAGTTTCACCATCCAATGAGGCGCCCATCCTGTCCCGACAAGGTGAGATTACATTTCCACCTGCCAGCCAGGGAAGAGATGCTCCCAGAGCTGGAAGAAAAGCCAGCTATTGTGTCTCTCCCAAAGCCCTCAGGGGAGCACCTGTAGGGAGGCTGCCCAGTGAAACCTCATGATGTCATTTCCCCTTCTGTGCACCTCAGACTTGCTACCAGAAGCCTGCCTTAACTTTTCAGTAGAACCACTGCCTTTCCAAAGCCTGCCATCTACCCTGTCCCTTCAGGGAAAGAAAGCCAATGGGGGTTAAAGAGTCCCAGAGCGTACGAACTGGAAGGAAATTTAGACTGTTTGTAGTTAAATGGCATGAAGTGGAGTGAGGAAGGCTCTGGAGGTGGGCTATGCTTATGTAACTTAATAGCTGGTGACCCTGGGCAAGTCACTTACCTCTCAGAAGCCCCAGTGGGTTCCCCTGTAAAGGGGAATTCATGTACTCACTTCCCAGGGATTGTGTGGATTAAATGAGAGGCTGAGTGTAAACCTCGAGTCTGAGTCTAGAGCCTGGCACACCCCACTCTGTCAGGGTTAAGTAGAGTTGCAGTCATTCTTGTCATCCTCCACATCGGTCCCCCCAGCACATTTTCCAGCAGTCAGATGGGAGGCACCGAGGGAAGATGAGGCTTGTTTTATGTCAGTGCTGGAAGCTACCCCTCACAACTCTTCCATAAATGTTTCTGTGATGAAAATACCTGCTTCCCCCCCCCCCCAGCCCCACATCACCTGGGAAAAGTGTAGAGGAAGATTAAAGAAGTAAACTCACACGGTATCCTTTTAAAGACCACGTCTCGTTATTTGATCAGAAACTCTGCTTTAAGACAAAAAGGCGTGGTGGACTTGGGAGAAGAGGGGTCTGCTATGCTTCTTGTGGGTGTGAGTTCCCGGGGGACCATTGGGGAGTGCCGTGCAGTCATAATCAAGAAACCTCTGGATCTGCAATCCCTTCTCCAAAATTCCCCTCAATTTCTTGCTTTAAATCAGTGGTTTTAAAATCCATTTGCACTTTAGAATTACTGGTGAGTTTTAAATGGCGCAAATCCCCAGGCTGGAGAGATTCTGAATTATCAGGCTGGGGGCAGCACCTGGACATGGTTATTCTTTTCCGGCCCTCCTAGGTGATTCCAGTGTGTAGCCAGGGATGAAAACCACCATCACAATGAATCCGGGCTGTTTTCTAGAGCACGGCTTTTCCCTGGCCTTTTCTGCTGGGGCTGGTTCTTTTCCCTCTTGTTGGGAAGTCAGGTCATTGGCTTCTCAGATGATTTCTCCTCTCTGAAGCTCCTGGAGCTTTGGAGGCTGTGTTCTACAAATACATTGATGCTGTTTGTCATCCACAGATCTCGTTTTATGCCATTTCCAAAGACTTAGCACCAGGTGAAATGTCCCCCTAGGAGTCCCATCACCTGTCACCATTCACGGAAATGTTAGCATCCACCTAACCACTGACCCTCTGTTTTCCCAGCTTCTTTCCGCATCTATGCTGTCCTTTTCCCTTACTTAACTTTGCCCCCCACCCCCCGCCCCTGACTCCAGGGCTTCGTGCTGGGCCTTGTTATCTGAAAAGGCTCCATTTCTTAAATCACTAATTCAGATGTCCTGCTTTCCAGACACAGCTTCCTCTCATCACTTGCATACCCTCTGCACACACTCTGATTTCATGAAGGCCTTCAAGCTGTGGGTCCTGCCACTCTCCATCTGTCCATCATCCAACCATCCATCCTGTCAGCCAGCCAGCCAACCAGCTGTTTGTCCATCCATCCATTCATCCCTCCATCCACCCCTCCCTCCATCCCTCCAGCCAGGCAACCAGCCAACCAGCTGTTGTCCATCCATCCATCCATCCATCCATCCATCCATCCATCCATCCATCCATCCATCCATTCATCCATCCATCCATCCATCCATCCATCCATCCATCCATCCATTCTTCCCTCCATCCCTCCAGCCAGCCAGCCATCTGTCCATCCCTTTCTTTCATTTCCCTCTCCATCGAGCAGAGTTTCATGATAACAATCCCTCTTTAGCAAGCACTTTCAACTCCCTTGAAAACCAAACTGTCTTTTGGTCACCCCCATCTGACTGAAAACCAGTTCTGAATGATAGAAATATCAGCCTGCTTTGCCCTCGTGCTGGGCCGCCGAAGCCTGAGAGAACACAATTTCAGTTACCCTCCACAGTTGGTTGAACACTGCCTCCTTGTCATCTTCCCTTTCTCTTGTTAGGCTCTGACTTTCCCCCTTATCCAGATCTTTTCACCTCGGTGCCTCCTACTTCCCTGAAAACCCAGAGTCTATCACATGGAACTTTTTGTCCCTCTACTCATTCTTTCCTGCATATCTCCTCTTCCAGGGGAGG